AAATACTTCAAAAGCTTCCCACCACATATAGGAAGGTTCACACACGTACAAAATCCTTTGTTATCGAGGCCCTGCTTATATTTCCAATCTTATCTCTCTTTTAGTTATTACAGACCTACTGAACTAACCGCAGACCTGGGGTGTCTTTCGATTGATCCGGAGGGATTCTATCATTATTTGAAAATGTGCATATCCCATGATCTAAAAATTTCACTCCATGTGCACTAGAGCGGTGGTTCTCAAACTCTGGTGTATATCTGAATTATCCGGAGAGTTAATAAAGAACTCAGAAGTGGCAAGCTGGTTGAAGGATAGGGCTGGCCTTTGTATTTTTATGAAGTTCCCTACGTGATTCTGTTACCTACCAAAGTTGGAGGACCACTGCCCTAAAGCAAGGGCCAGCAAGCTATAGCCTGAAGCCCAAATCCAGCCTCAGGCTGTTTTTATAAGCCAAGATTTGTTAGAATAAAACCCTACCTATTCATTTAGGTATTATCTATGGCTCCTTTTACACTCTAACAGCAGTATCAAATAGTTGCAGGAGAGATCAAATGGCCTGCAATGTCAAAAGTATTAAGTATCTAACCCTCTACAGAAAAATTAGCCAATTCTGGAGGAACACTTCATATCAGAAGACGTGTATAAGTATGTTCCCTGTGGCAATGTTTGTCACAGCGAGATTTTGAAAAATCCTCAATCTACGTAAATAGGGGAATAAATAAATAAATAAATAAAGATATCTCTCTGTGTGTATATATCTACATATTCTACTATATACATAGTATATAAATAAAATATAGTAGTAAATAAAATTTATCAGATCTTTATGCCTTAACATGGAGAGAATAAAAAAGGATGATACATACAATATATTTTTACATGCATTTTTAGACACAATATCTGTTAAAAGGAATTTAAAAATAAATTAGAATGGTATATACCAAAGCCATGATCATACTTGCCTATAAAAGGGAAAGAGACAGAAAAGGGAATAAAAGGGTCCTGAACTCTATAGATAGTCCTCAAATCTATAGACTTCATTAAAACATTTGAAATAAAAAAGTGACAAAAATTAAAGATTTGCCAATACTAGAATATATTGTTTGCCTTATTATCCTCTGTGGGTTTTATTTTATTCAAAATTAAAACCACAAATAACCTAAAATATTCAACTATAGGGAAAAGGAATTGAACATTAATAATCCAATGCAATGAAATATAATGTAGCTTTTAAAAATACACATGAAGAAAATATAACATGAGAAATTATTGGTTTAATTGTCCATGAAATAAGGATAAAATTATATATATATATATATATATATTTTTTTTTAAAAGGGTTATCCTTATTTGTTCCTTTTTGGGGTTCATTTATTTATTGGGTTGTATTTTTTAATCAATATAACATGCATGCAAAACTTTAAAAAAGAGGTCAGCAGTAGATACATTTGACTTAATATTTATCTTTGTCTTTTATTTTCCAAATAGTATTAAATGAATACATATTACTTTAAAATGAAATGATACTTAGGGCACGTGGGTGACTCAGTTATCTAAGCGTCTGACGTTGGCTCAGGTCATGATCTCAGGATCCTGGGATAGAGTCCCCAGTCAACAGTCAGGCTACCTGCTCAGTGGGAAGTCTGCTTCTCCCTTTCACTCTGCCCCTGCCCCTCCACCCATCTCAAACCCCCCTCCCCGACTTGTGTGAGCTCTCTCTCAAATAAATAAAATCTTTGAAAAAAAAGAAATGAAATGGTACTCATTGAAAGTGACCTTGTGTGTCAAATAGAGCTAACTGCATAACAGATACTCATTCTACCCTTCTTCCTGCTACTTTACTTGGTAAAACACTAAATTTCGCAGCCTTTCTTGCAAATACAGGAAGCCATATGATGCAGTTCTAGCCAATGAGATGTAAGCGGAGACTCTGCGTGCAGCATATTGGGAAATGCTTTGAAATAAAACAAACTTGACTGGCCTTTACTTTGCCCTTTTCCCTTCACCTACTTCTTTCTACTGAAAAAGAAGGTGAAGCAGGTGAGAAAGTGAAGCAGCCACCTTATGAGCATGGCGAACAAAGGTCATTCATTAAAGAATGACAGAGTGGAACGTCAAGTCAGAAGCCTGGAGGAGCTGCTGTGCCAACCTGGACTGCATCCCTCTAACACTTCCTGTACATGAGAAAACAAAACCAAACACCTTACTCCCTTTAAGCCTTTCTTTTACATACAGCCAAATGTAACCATTTACTGAAACATCTTGCTAAAATTAAATATTAATAAATTATACTGTTGAAAGACACTTTAAAGATTGCCTAACCGATAGTACCTAAAGATCAGAAAAATAATCTTCAAAAAGATTGAAGGCTTGAAACCAGTCTGTATCAGAACAGGGACCAGAAATTCACCCTCACTTAAGTGAATCCTTGTTCTAAAATGTTAAAATCAAGTCCACTTTAATGATCCAGTTTGTAAATTACTTATTTAGTATTTCATATTTCTTTCTCCAAAGGTAACTTTTTTTTATTTGAGAGAGAGACAGCACGCTTGAGTGTTCGGGGAAGGTCAAAGGGAGAAGCAGACTCCAAGCTGAGCAGGGAGTCTGGTGCAGGACTCATCCAGGATCACGACCTGAGCCGAAGGTGGTAGCTTAAGCAACTGAGCCACCCCAGTGCCCCCAAATAGTAACATTTTTAAAAAAAAATTCCATCTATATTGGTAAAAATTTGTATTCATCCCCGTTTTTGCCCATAAGCAAGCTTAAAATTTGAAATTACTCAAAATTAGTATTCAAACTGACATCAATTTCTTAAGTATGTCTGTATAGATAGGTTACTCTTAAAGACCAAACAATTTACAAGGATAAAGAATTAGTAAATTTACAAATAGTGTTTTAATTCATATTCTATCCCCGCCAAACAATTTAAACCCTTTTCTCTAAATATCAACCTAAGAGAAAAACAAAAATGTCTGCATTTAGAGTATGTATCTGAATTTCATAAATATTATTTTTATATAAAGAATAAGAATTAGTATACTATCTTTTGTCCTTGAATAAAAGATTTCATCATTAGATATAGGATTCTTGGGTCCCAGTGCTTTTTGCTCAATATTTGGCTACTTCCACCACCAGCTCCTTGGCGAGATTCCTAACACCTGCTGTTAACAAACTCCTCCCGGATTCCACTGTGTAAGAAAACCCAAAAATACTCATGCATGCCTCTGCCCACAGAATAGAAAGAACCAGTTCCTTAAGCGCCTGAACTTTCATCATGTTCCTTTTCTACTGGTACATGTAGAATACTCTTGGTATTTCTACCATTTTTTAAGTCCTTTAGTGAAGAGAAATATAATTCTCTGCTTCCAGATCTAAACCTCTTAGAGAACCACATTTTTTTCAAGAATAACACAAACTCCTCAAAGGAAAGAAATTTTTTTGCCAACATGAGTATGTTACAGAGTCTGAGGTAGCAGTTAGAAAGCCAATCAATTGCTTCTTACATATGCTGTAAATTATCATAGCAGGTCCCACCAGCACTTGCTGCTACTCTGGCAATGCCCAATTTCTTGGGCTAGCACTGATGATGAGTTATCAAGAAACTTGGAGTCAGAATATTTTATGTTCTGTAGCTAGTATTATATTTTATATTCTATAGGTAGAATTAAAATTCTATCCACAGTTTAGTAAATACAAGGCTTAAAATGGCCCTTGCAGTAACTTCTAACCACCACAAGATGGAGATATGACTCCATGATTTTTTCCTGACTTTCCAAGACACAGAAATAAAGGTATTTCTGGGTTGAAAATAACAGAGGTGTACAAATTAGGTTATTTCTCCCCTGATAATTATTTTTAAAAATATAATATTTTTCTGTATTTTTCACTAAAGGTCTGCACTTATTCAAAGAGCAATCTCTATAATGCTCTGGTCCTCAGGACCTCTGTGAATATATATATATAAGCAGTTAGTTAAGTGCTCTACATTAAAGCTATTAAAAAACATGTTATTTCTGATAGGCTGTATAGAATGGCTGTTGTCATTGCACAGTCTAGTCAAATGGGCATAGATTTTTTTAAAAAGAGAATCGACCTCCACATTTCCAGACTGTGTGATTCTGAGCAAATCACTTAATTTTTTTAAGTTCAGTGTCACATGCATGAAAGGAAATAATATTAAATTTTATCTCATTGGATTGTGTAGTCCTGCCAATTTAGCAGAGTATTGTATTTTCATTTTCATATAAAGTACCCTTGGTTTTTTTTTTAAGATTTCCATGTTTTCCTGAATATTCTTGAAATTAAAATTCAGCAAGAGTTCTAAAGAAAAGCCTACTTCCAAGCATGCTCTAGACCTGGCATAAGCCATGCTTTAGGTCTTCTCTACATTTAAAAAAAATAAGCATTTAAACGAACGAGAAACAAATAAATGTGCTTTGTAAAGTATAAAACATATATAAATTCAAGGAATTTTTCCGGAGGAAAGGCTGTCACTAGGCCAGCCCAAAGAAAAAGTAGGCTGATCAGTACAACAAGGTTTCTTTCATGTCATAGGGTAATTTTATGGGTTCTCTGTTGGATTTTATACATGTGTATGTGAATGTGAATATATGTGTGTGTGCATATCTACATGTGTATATGTATATTCTAGAGGAAATAGAATGGATATGTTTTCAGATAGTTATGAAATATATTTTTGTATTTAATAGGCTCTTTTAGGTTGCAGGAAGTAGACACGCTCAGGTTGCACCTGGACTAACTATTGAGATTCTTTTTCTTCCATTTGGTATGTATCTGAAACTCTGCCCAGCTTTATAAGGTAGAGATTAAGTTGAAGGATCTGCTATAGGATTCCTTACTTCCTAGAAACAGTTCCACTGAACAAAATATTTTATTTGGAACTTGCCACAGTCTTCAAGCATTTTTTGGAAGCTGCCTAAAAAAAAGTACAAAATTTTTTTCCTTCTATTATTCTTTTTGCTTAACTAGCTTTTACTTACCACTGGCATTTGTTCATAAACACAGAAGACAATCTATCTACAACAAAACAAATATGAAAATATTAACAATATTTTATCACTTTTAATTCAACTTACAAAACATATATATAGTTGCTTCTGTACCTGGAGAATTTCCACGGATTTTTTCCATTTTATCTTCTAGAGAAACAATTTGCTTTTCTAGTTGATCATTCAGTTCAAGTTGTGTCTCATAACGAACTTTCCATTCACCACCTGATGGGAAAATGGGGTTAAATCAAGATCATCTTGTCACCTCTCATTTATCTACAACATTAATCAGCTCATTTAAATCTCCTTTAAAACAACATTAATCAGCCCAATCCTACTGTACTTTACTTTGTTAGCAATGTAGATGAACAAGAGTGAACTAATTTTTAAGTTTGCATTTCTCTGTTTGATAGGATCTTTCAGATTGCAGACAGTAAATTCACAGCAGATTACCACACGGTCAGACCTCACTAGGACTATTGTGATTCCTGGTTTTCTCACTCCCTAGGTCCTTTGTCTGTTAGTTCCTCACATACCCTTACAAGGAATTCTATTAAAGGGACTATCAGGAACGTGTTTCTTTCCTTGGAACTTGAAATATCCATACATAACAGCTTAAATAGTTCTAGCTTCCATCCAAAGTCATGTCCTTTTTTTTTTTTTCCTTTGCAAACAAATTCTTAAGTCCTTTTAACAACTACCACTTACATGTTTGCTATGTAAAAAGTACACAATCACATATATAATCACATATATTAACTAACTAATCCTCATTTGAAAAAACTTTGTTACCTGTTCTACAGATGAGGAAACCATGGCTCAGACATGTCAAATAACATTTTTAAAGTGAAAAAGTCAATAAATGGGGGAACTGGGATTTGAATCTGGTTTTATCTGATTTCAAAGTGTATCCTCTTAATTGCTATGCTAATACATGCAGCTGCCTATTCAGGCATCTTCTCTCATCCATAATCAGGTTTCTTTCACCAAGCCCCTTGGATTATTAAGGCCAAAACAATTTTCTAATTGCTATAGGAGGGGAGGAGAATACAGCCTAGAATTAAAACATCTTTGGTCAGCTTCAAGGTGCAAAGCTAATTTTTTTTTAAATCTTGAAAGTCATGGTTTATAGAGAGAAAAAAGTTGGCTTGCTTCTAAACTTTAAATGCTCGGGGCGCCTGGGTGGCTCAATGGATTAAAGCCTCTGCCTTCCGCTCAGGTCATGATCCCAGCTCAGGTCATGATCCCAGCGTCCTGGGATCGAGCCCTTCATGGGGCTCTCTGCTCAGCGGGGAGCCTGCTTCCTCCTCTCTCTCTACCTGCCTCTCTGCCTGCTTGTGATCTCTGTCTGTCAAACTTAAAAAAAAAAAAAATGCTCTTTACATATATGAGACAATTTCTGCTCCATTATAGTTGACAGAGGAATCTAGGTAGGAAGAGTATTAGCACATACCACTGGCCTCAACCTTCTCAGCCCGGCCACACGTCTCCCTTAACCCCCTCACCTCTAGCAAATATAGTGTTCCAAAAACAGAAGCAGGAACACCCTCCCAAACTGAAGTTGAAAGTCATTAATCCAAACGCTTTAGGAACAAAAAGGAAAGAGAAGCCTGAGAGACTGAACATTTATCCAAAAGATACCACTGAGTCCAAACAGATGCAATTATCTATATAACTGGCTAGCTAGTCTCTTTGTAATTGGACCTCTTTCCCCACCATGGGAATGGGGGCTTCAGAGCAAAATCAGAAGCTACCAAAAAATTTAAGAATGTAATTTATTTTTAGCACATCCGACAATAGTCTAGAAATGTTTGCCTCCACTTTAAAATATTATTGATCTATGGGGCGCCTGGGTGGCTCAGTGGGTTAAGCCTTCGGCGCAGGTCATGATCCCAGGGTCCTGGCTGGGATCGAGCCTCACATCGGGCTCTCTGCTCAGTGGGGAGCCTGCTTCCTCCTCTCTCTCTCTCTGTCTGCCTGCCTCTCTGCCTACTTGTGATCTCTATTGCCAAATAAATAAATAAAATCTTAAAATTTAAAAAATAAAATATTATTGATCTAGAGATCCTCAAATATAAGTAAGCCTAGTAGTTAACCATCATGTATTAATATTAATAAGTGCCAGGCCCTGGTGGTAATGATGTCAATATTCACCTTCCCCAATATGATGAACTCACCTCAAATATACGTACACGCTCAAACGTGTAACTCCTTCAGTATACACAGACTGCTCCTAATTATAGGGCACAAAGGACAAAGAGAAAGCATATGGACTGCTGAATTACAGGAGAAAATTTTAAAATAGTAGTGTCTATAAAAAGGGAAAAAATAGACTTATGCTGCTGTGGGGTCACAGGGTGACTTTCATCGGCCCTTGTGGTACTTTTGCCTTTGAGGGCCTCTTCCTCTATATAAAAAAAAATATTAAAAATTCTACTTTACTACTATGTTGGTATAAAGACAAATATACTCCAGACTGAATCATATTCCTTTTTTTCTTCTCATGTGAAAATAAAATATCTCTTTGGCCTCTAAAATTATCACACAAATCACATCAACTTCCTACTTACCCAGTATTTCCTTTTTCTAAAAAAAGACCACACTGATTATTTCTTTCCCTACCACATCTTGTTCTATGATAACCCAAGTACCAAAAATATTAAGGTGTATCATTTTTGTATAATTCTTTATTGGTCTTTAAAATGCAATAATGTTTAAATTATATTTTTAATTGGGAATAAGAGTGGCAGTTAAAAATAGCAAGTTTTTTTTAATACACTTGATACTAAGGGCAGGTAGGAGACATCTGGAACAGCCAAATAAGAGATGTGATGCTACCTTTGAGACAGCCCCAATACACTTGACGCCAAAAAAGATGATACCTGACCTTCAGCACAATAGTAGCCAACCTATAAAGGCCAACAATAAACGTACAAACAAGCCATTATTTAAAATACAGATTACGAGGATAAAAATTTAACAGAAACATTTGTGTCCCTTGGTGGAAAAAAATACCCTGAGCAATACTTCCATGAACCATTGCTCCTTCAGTCATTCTAAAAACAAAGAAAAAAATAAGCACCAATTTTTAAAAAAGATTCATTTTGAGAGAGAGAGAGAAAGAGAGCACACATGCCTGGGAGTGGGGTAAGGGGAGGGGCAGAGGGAGAAAGAAAGTCTCCAGCAGACTCCCGACTGAGCATGGAGCCCCATATCAGCTGCATCTCTCAACCTTGAGGTAATGACCGGAGCCAAAATCAAGAGTATGAAGCTTAACTGACTGAGCCACTCAGGTGCCCAAAACAAGCACCAATTTTTAAAGAAAAATCAAATTGCTTTGCATTATCAAAGAAGGATCTTGGCTAGGATCAGTGCAATGAAAAGCAAAATCAAACCAAAATTTGAAACATTGTAGAAATTTGATTCATGGCCAGTTTTATGAATTGACCTTGGAAGAGGAAGTTCATAAAGTAAGAGAAAATTAAATTATGGGGTGCGTGGGTGGTTCAGTCAGTTAAGGATCTGCCGCCTTCAGCTCAGGTCATGATCCCAGGGTCCTGGGATCAATCTCCTCATTGTTGGGTTCCCTGCTCAACACAGGAGTCTGCTTCTCCCTCTTCCTCAACCCCTCCCCCTGCTTCTGTGCTTGCTCTCTAATAATTAAATAAAATCTCTAAAAAAAAAAAATTAAACTAAGTAAATAAATAAACTAAAAAAAATTTTTTTTAAATAAAAAAAATTAAACTAGGTAGAGTTTTACCTTTTAGATACGGATTTTTATTTATTTATTTATTTGTTTAGCCTGAGATAGCAGTGTTAACAAAAACAAAGCCCCACCAAGCAACAATGCCAAATAATACATTTTTAAGTGTTAAAAACAACACAGTGGAATTGGTTGAAACTTGACTCTGCATAGACTTTAATAATTCAGTCATGTTTAGTTGTGCTGATTGCTGTATTTATAAGGATAACAGTGATGAAGTTATGTTAATTTGCAAAGACTTTGTAAAATAAGAAAATGTTAACAAGGAAAGGAAAAGGCCTAATATGTGGCACTGTACTGGGTATTAGGAATACAAAAATAAGATAGACACAGTCCCTGCAGTCAATCAGCAGTAGGACAGATGGTGGTGAGGGAAAACATACAGCCAGAACATTTGAGAAAACTTGGTTAAGTGGATGCTATGGAAAACACAAAAGGACATCCAGTCTGGAAGATGGCAGAAGACACTGAGAGATAGGGAGGTCAAGATTAAAGAGGCTCAGGAAATGCTCTTGGGGGAAATGACATTTGTTCCAAGCCAGAGGAGGTGAGAAAGGATTTTGAAGCAGCAAGAACAACATGAACAAATGAAAGAAACTTCTGTGGCAAAGGTGTCCCCAACAAAATTTTCAGATTTCATGAGGAAAAATATCCCCAAAGTAGGACTAGTTGAGTCATGTCTCTACCACTTATTAGCTTATTTATGTGATCTTGAGGAAGTTACCTTTTCTGTGCCTCAATTTCTCATCTCTAAAATAAGGATAATTGAAGTTCCTATATTATAGGATATTGGGAGCAGTCATTAAAATATGTAAAATCCTTAGAATAGAGCAGGGCACACAGCAAATACTATAAAAGTTAGTTGATACTGTAATTATTTTCAACTTCTCCTTCTTCTTCCTCTTTCTCTTCCCCTTCCTCCTCCTCCTCTTCCTGTTCTTTTTCTCCTTCTCCTCCTCCTCCTTCTTCTTCATCACATCATCATCATCAACACCAGCAGAAATTTACTGCAAAATTGTTCTCCAAAAGGGTAGCACTATATTGTTAGCAGTAATGTTACAATTTCACTTAAAAAATGAAGTTACAATGAAGTTACAATTTCACTTAAAAAAAAAAACAAAAAAACTTTACTTCTTCAATAGCAACAAATTGTTTCAAGTTTCTTTGAAGAAAGAACAAACTGGATATCTTCCATATGCATAAACTGTCTCTGTTCTACTCATATTTATCTACTGGGAACTTTGTATTTTCTAATCAAATTGCAGAGGATATAGAGGTAGTAAAAATATGGACCTTTTGTCCACCATGTTGGCTACTAATATATTTCCTATAATGCTGTCTCACTTCTCACACCATTTTTTATTTAAGGGAAGGTATTTGTCAAAATGAAACATTTTCCTCAATGATCTATTGTCTTAAACTAAGAAAGGCCTTCTTTAGCTATAAAAGGATATATGCTCAT